CCCAGTCACCATTACAGTTATGCATAGTTGTGTGATCCAGACCAACAGGAATAAAAGCTACTGGAGGCTTTTAGAAAAAAGGTTATACTTTTCTGATAAGATAGATGAAGCTGAGAGATGCCCTTCCTATTCCAAGGGCTATAACAAAATACCATAAACTAAGTGATTGGTAAACAAATTTATCTCTGGCATTTTGGAGGACATTCAAGATCAAGGTGCTTTGAGATTTGGGACCTGGTAAGGGCCAACTTCCTCAGAGTGCCCTATCACCGTGTCCTCACATGGCAGAAGGAATGAGGGATCTCATTTGGGCCTTTTATAGGGGTACTAAATACATTCATGAGGGTGACCTAGTTACCTCCCAGAGGCCCACCTCCTAAAGCCATCACCTTGGGGGTTAGGATTTCATTATACGAATTTACAGGGAGAACACAAACATTCTGATGATAGTACCAGGATTTTTTTTATTATTAAATGAGGAAAATATCTTTCCATTTGTTTAAGCCACTTCATAATCATATTTCCCATTACCCACTGCCCACAGCATCCCTAATTGCTTTTTTATAATATAAATCATGGGTGTCCTTATAATTATTTCCAGCTTTTTTCAATTGTAAATGAAATTATCCATAGTTCCTAATCAACTTATTATATTATTTGAACACATGCATGATAAACCCTGACCATATGTTATTGCAATGAAGACAGAATACATTCATTTATCTAAGTATATATTAACTACTATAGTTTGGATGCTGAATGCCCCCAAAAGGCCCTTGTGTTAAAGGCTTGGTCCTAGGGTAGTAATAGTCGGAGGTGGCAATGGAAGGTCCACAGGTCATTGGGAACACGCCCTCGCAAGGGACTGGGGAACCTTTCTTTCTTTCTTTCTCTTCATTTCATGGCTCATAAAGTAAAAAGTTTGCTGTACCACATGCCTCCATAATAATGTGGCACCCTACCAGAGGCCCAAAGCATGGGGTCACTTGCTTCTGGACTGGAAGCTCCAGAACTGTGAGGCAAAGTAAACTTTTTCTCAAGTTAATTTCATCTGGTATTTTGTAATAGTAATGGAAAGCTAATACAGTAGCAAAGATTCAGCACCATGGAAGCAGCAGTATTGTGGCTAACATATATGATGTTAGTGGGAGATTATCCTATGTGTTGTTAACTTTATTTTCCAGGTTTATATATTTCACTTGTAACTGTTTATGAAGTTAAATTATGTACTTTAAATCTGGATATATAAAATTAAATATTTAGTCATTATTTAAGGTTAAAGAAACTTACACAGACAAGATCAATGACCCATTACAAACATGTCTACAAGTTTTTATTCTAATATATTTCATAGCAATTTAAAAATAAGTATGCATTTTATTCATACTAATAATGCTATTATTATTTTATAAACTGCTTCACAAAATAATTATAAACTTTATATCTATATAGAGTACAACTTTTCTTGAATTGTAAAAGATAAATTTTAATATTCAGCTACATACATAAAACACTTAGAAAAACAACACAATAATGAAGAAATTATAATTCCAACTTTCTGTGCTTTTGAATGAATCTAATATTTCTTCTATGCTCCAATCCTATTACGCTCTATTTCTAGAAATGCAGTGAGATAAACTGGGGACTGGCAATGTGGCTCAATAGTAGAGCACTTGCCGAGCATGCATGAGGCCCTGATCTGATTGCTCACACTAAAAAAAGGAAAAAAGAAAAAGAGAAAGGCATGGAGATACAATGGACTAGTAATTATACAATACAAGTGCTAATGAAAATCTGATTAAGTCCAAATTTCCCTTAGCTCCTCTGTTAATTTAAATATTGAGTTGAGAAAGCTACAGTATCCACTTAATAAAAAGAAACTGGATTTAACATCTGATACTAAGGATGGTAGTATGCTGAGTAAAGAGGTAAAACTGCTATCTACATCAAATTTCTGAACTAAAAGCTCAATATACAATTAAGGGCTTTCCTGTCTTCTCCAGAGGCAACCTCAGTTACAGAGTTTTTAGCTTCATATGTTAATTTAATTCAACCTGAGTACTGATAAAATGTCCTTCAGTTAAGAGCAGAGGAGGAAAAAGAAATTAAAATCTCCATTTTACATATGGAAATCAATTTCAAATACATCCAACCTCAAGGAACATTGAGATGAAGAGATTCCTAACTTACAATCTCTCCTACTCTGGCAGTTTAAATTATAGATTGACACAGAACATCAAATTCCTATAATTATTTTTGCTGAGTATTGTTTTAAACATCCAGGATTAATTAAGAGTTATCAACACAAACCAGTATTTCATGCAAAAGTGTCATTTATGACAAATTACTTCTTATGTATGAAATTAATTTCCTTAAAAAATAGCCACTATGTGCTGAAAACAGTACTATGTTGACTATTTTCTATATATACAAGTTTCTAGAACATACTAACTATAAAGTACAGGAAACAATCAACCATATATAACAAGGCAGATTATGTTTTTTCACTTCCTCAATTGCCTTATCAAAAGTTATTTATCTTTAAAGAAAAATATTTTGGCTCACTATTTTTTTTTTTTTTAAGTTGTAGATGGACACAATACCTTTATTTTATTTATTTGTTTTTATGTGGTGCTGAGAATTGAACCCAGTACCTCAGATGTGGGCAAAAACTGCTCTACTACTGAGCCACATAAAGTAAGAAGTTTGCTGTACCACATGCCTCCAATAATGTGGCACCTTACTAGAGGCCCAAAGCATGGGGTCACTCAATAATTTTATTTTACTGATAATTATTGATTTATTTATAAAACTCAGATATCCTATTTAGCAAGTATTGAAGACTATAGAGACTACAGAAGACTTCTACTTGGGAAAGTAATTTCATGAAATTATCTACTTCACCTTGTAGCAAAACAAATGAATAAATACAGTATAGAACCATGCTGAATAACAAATATTACAGTAATCACTGACATGTGGCTAAGCAGCACTTAAAATATGGCTAGTCCCAATCAGCAAAACACACTACTAGATTTCAAGTAATTAGTACAGAAGAATATAAACTATCTCAATAATTTTTTTTACATTGACTACATGTTGAAATAACAATATTTTGGATATATTGAGTTAAATAAAATATATTACTAAAATTATTTTCATCTGCTTATTTTTATTTTTTAATGTGGCTGCTAGAAAATTTTAAAATTACATACATGGCTTAGATTATTTTTCTATCCTACAGCACTGCTTATAGAAACAGCATACTCAATTATATGTTAATATCAATCCCACATTAAATTATGATGACATTAAAGATAAAATGTCTACTATATTATCACAAGGTTCCTGAGTTTAAATCACACACACCTGCACTCTTAAAAACAAGACCAAAAAAGACCTATTATAATCATTTCCATCATCTTCTTTATACTGGCAACTGCAGTAAGCTTAGGTTAGATATGAGTCTGCAAACTGACAAAAAGGATTTTTTTGGAGTGATGGAAATATTCTAAAACTGGAATCTAGTTTTAGCTGCATAACTCTATAAATATATTTTTTTAAATTATTCAATTATAGACTTAACATGGATAAACTGTATATTATGAAACTTTATCTCAATAAGTTGTTTTTTAATAAGCAGTACGCAGCTGGAGCTCAGCAGATCTAAAATAATCTAAAATATCACCTAGTAGCTGCTTATAAATTTCTAAAGTTAAACAAAGATCAAGGCTTCATGCACCTGAACCACTATATACTTTTGTGCTTTCCTGCGGCCTGCCTGCATGTAATTATTTCCAGGGCTCACTTTATCCCATATTATTCCCCCCCACCCCCTACCAAAAAAAGGAAAAAGAAATGAAATAATAGAAATAGTAATAGTAGCATATTAAGAATTGACATTGAACATTGAGATTTCAATACAAGTACACATACACAAACCTATATATACATACAAGATTTACAAAAACACACAGAGTGGGCTCAGGTTCTCAATTTAAAAGTAAACTAGGTGGATAGTTCAACAGCAAAAGAATCATTTGAAATAAAAAAAATCATTAAAGAATGATGACTTAAGACAGCCATAGAAACAAAGGACCTATAATAGTTCATTCTAATCAATATAAAAGGATGAAAAATGTCTGTGTCTATGAATATATTTGTTATAGTTTTAGACAAAAGTGATCAGAGTTGTGAATGTTTATGTTACAGTTTATAGTGCTTTGAGTTGAGTAATACTTCTAAAATTGAAACATGTACATTCACTGATCCTGATTTCCTAGAGATGACTCTGCTGATGACTACTAGATACCACTGGCCATTTCACACAACCCAGACTATTGCTCAATCAGCGTAGTATACCCAACACATATTTGGCAGTTATTTTGCATCATCACATTCATGCATAAATGCTCTCAGACTCCCAAAACAAATGCACACAATGACACAATTGTGTTTTAAAGATATTACAAAAGAATGTTAACTAGATATCAAAACTAAATTGTATTTGAATTATATCTGCAGTTACTATTCTTTTCTCATTTTTGGTCTCTTTAATACTTAAAGTAGTGCAAGTTCAATTGACAATGAAGTCTATCTTATAAAATATAAAGAAAGGCTTTTTTTTTCTTTTGTACAAGACATTGGCAAACTAATAGAATACACCAAAAGGAAAAGACTAACATTTACCTTCAAAAAAATTAAAATTCTACAAATGTTCATAAAGCTCTTAAATAGTATGAAAACATGAAGTCTGTGCTTCATCTAATTTCTAAGCAATCAAAATATTCACACTGAGGCACTATTCAATTTATGTGAACAGTCTAGGCCAAAGAACTGTACTTACTTCTTTGTGCATTTCTGTCACACTCTCCATTACTAGACACACTACCATACCAAACAAAGGACAAACGAAAATGTAATAATAATAATATGCAATGATTATTAATTATTATTACCAATTATTACATTATTAATATTATGTAATAATAACAATAATCTCTTTTATACAGAAATTTAATTTAGGAATAAAATAAAACATTACGCTACAAAAAGCATCCCAAATGTTTCTACAGGTTCTGCAGAAGAGAAAAATAAATGATCTTTAGAGGACTTGTAGCAGGAGGGAAAGAGCAGAGTCAGGGATCACAGTACTGCAAGTTTGAACATATTATGCCTTTTGTAAGGCTTTCCGTAAATCACTGTAGAAGTTGGTTAAAGTGCTTGCCATGGCAGTATCCACCGCAGACTGAGGAATCATTCCACATAGATCTGTCTGAATATAGCCTGTCAAAAGACTTTGGTTTGGATTGTCTTTGAGTGGAACACAAAACCAACCACAGGGATGATTATATCCACGAACAAATTCAGGTCTCTTTTCACTCCAGTCAAGACTTATTCCTACAAGGCAATTTTAAAATAAAACTGTGAATAGCAATGACTGAATGTGTTTAAACTCTCATTTAAAAATATTACAAAATTTGTTTAAATATTTTTCTTCTCATCCATATAGGTGGAAATTAAAGCCCCAAGAGTGACCATGACAGAATGAAAAAGATAATTACTAAGGAGAATTCTCACAAGGGGTTGGGTAGATAGGTAATAGGGAATGTTCTAATTCCTTCAAAACAGATGACATCATGTCATCCTGGAAACTTCTTAGAAACTTCAAATCTTGACTGTGACAGTCAAGCTTCAAGACATTAATAATCTAATCTATGGTACCACAATTATTTCCCACAGGCACTACTATATCTAACTTTGATACTGACTAGTTAAGAATAAACAAGTAGATGATTACCTATAACTGTAAATTCAAGTGGATACTATACATAAAAAATATACGTCTTTAGAAAAAAATACATATATTTAAAAAAATATATGTATTTAGAAAGTAGGAGCCTTCCAATATCAGTATTTTAAATCATAAAAAGAAAAATACAATACAGTTCAAAGAAAGAACAATATTTTAACATGTATCAAGTCTATTTTGTGTATGTGTGTGTGTGTGTGTGTACACATGCCAAGAAGACGGTATCTGAAACAGGTTTGGAAGGAAATCCATTTACTGAATTCCTTTCTAAGAGGCAGTCTCATGTGGATTCATTTCTGAAACTTGTTAACTAAAGGATACCAGATAACTGGGAACAAAAAATTATGAGAAAGATTTTTAAAAACCTTCTTATGTTATTATACTCCCTAAGGTTTAGAATTTAAAAAAAAAAAAATTATAAATGTTAATATTAATTATGAGGGCTGAAATTAAATCTCCATAAAGAAACAAAATTCCAGTCTAGAAAACTCAAATATATAAACCAAACTAAAGAAAGTACAGAATTTTGAGATAATTACCACAGGATAAAAGTCCTTCTTTATAGCCCACAGTGTAAGAGAAATCAACAAACTCTCTTGGGGAAATTATATTCCAAAGCTGACCAGCAGTAGTGTAACGCATCACACAGCAATTCTGAAAAAGAAGAAAGATAAGACAGATATTACCACTACAAGAATATACACATAGACTTATACATCATAATCTCCAATAAAAAACTAATATTCATTTAAAATATTTTACTATTACATGATAATTCTTAGAGTGACTTTAACAGGTATAGATCCCTATTCTAAAACTCACTACTATTATACAGATAGAAATAAGATATATAATTAAAATATATAAACAATTTAGTACCTAAATCTCTATTTAATTAGAGATTAATAATTAATTCCATTAATCAGGGAATTAAATTCCTAATTAGGGATATAGGCTGTTTTATTCTGCTGAAGATAAAAACTTACAAATACTTCAACTACAATATTACATTTTTCAATTTAAACATAAATATATTAAGAAATGAATTAATAAAGGCAGAAAAGAACAAGTTGTTTGGGATACACAGTTCTCTAATGCTTAAGGTAGCATTTTTACTTTGGTCTTTGATTTTGACCTAGGATTAATGAAAAAACAATATACATTTACCTAGAAACTTAAATATGATTGTGGTGTTTTCAGAATTTCAGATTTTTGAACCTTAACTAAAGTTTTACAATTCATGAAAAAGATTTTCTTAAGCAGTAAGGGTGGAGCTATTGTAGAAAACAAACTTAGACTAATACCCCTTAATTAATATGAGGAAACTCAAATGTTTTTAAGAGTATCCTATTAGACACATCTATTCTTAAAGCAATGGATAAAATGAATATGAATATAATTGTGTACAAATGCTCATGCTCCCAAGCATGTACACGCTAGTACACACTTTCTCTCTCCCCTTTTTTTTCTCTCTCTCTCTCTCACACACACACACACACACACACACACACACACACACACAATCTGAAAGTAATGATTCTGAACAGATACCTCTTCAAAGTGCTCCAAAATATCCAATGAAGTCATTAAACGGTCCCAATCCAAGCGACAGGGCCCTGGGCGTATATGGTCTATTACACTATTGACAATGTCATCTATAACACCTTGAGCTTTATAGCTGGAGATAGAAAATTAAAATTAAATACAATTAGAATGAAAAATTTCAAGATGCCCTCACAGTTCAGAACTAACACTTAAAGTAGAAGTAAAAATTAATGCAAGTTTTTTAGAAAGGAGTAAATACCTAGGACTTTTCTGGTAAATTAAGTTCTATCAATTATTTTATTAAAAATACCCTTTGTCCTCAAATCTAATTAGTCCTTTCATGTTATAATATAGTCAAAACCAGTCCACAGAACACTCTAATACTTCCATTTAATTTGTATATTACTCTTTCCTCAGTTATCATTAAACATATCAGTCTGTGCATATTTTTACCCTAATTTTTACAAACTTTTTAATGAAAAGGTAAAGAAAAATAGGCCAGTGAACACTGAAGAACTGACTCATGAATACATGGAACTTGACACACTTTAAAGGTAACAGTACACATCATTGGGAGAAAAGGTACTCTTCCATAAGCAATATTTAGATTTAACAAAAACTTTTATGAAGAAAATAAATCAGGATTCACACTTCACACCATACAAAATGATTAATTCTAGATAGATTAAATACTTCCATGTAAAATGTAAAGCTTAGAGAAAAAATATACAAGACGATCTTTGTGACTTCAGAATACAGGGGGATTTCTTGAATATATAAGATTCACAAAAGTACAAATAATACAAAAGATCAGTTACAATTTTAAATGTGCACACCACACATAAAAAATAATTTTTAAACTACTCATACACTTTCAGAAGATACCTGCAACACATATAAAAAGACACACAATTATTATAGGGGACATAGGAATGATTCCTATAATCCAGTGAGAAAAAGACAAACCAAAGATGGGCAAAAGGTATATTAAGATTGGCTTGAAATATCAATAAATATACAAAAGATGGCCAACTTCACTAGTAACCAAGTATATCCTCATTTATACCTCTCAGATTAGCAGATTAAAAAATGTGACAGTGTTGAAAGGAGGAAGGTGAGAACTCTTAAACTGCTACTTTAAGGAGCAACTTGAAAATATCAGATAACATGTTTTTATTTTTTACGGACATATGAATGTGTGGTCAAAGTTTGAAACAGGAATTATGCACACAGCTTCAGGAGAGTAGTTACCTTTGGGAGATGAAATATGGGATAGTTTGGTTTCAACTCTATCAGTAACTTATTTTTAAGCATCTGAAGCTGTTTAATCATTTTATAAATGTCTCAAGCTAAACTTATCTCCCTCATTCTAAATTTTCTCCTCCCTCTTATATTCTCTAACTTGGGGTAGGCTGGGATGGGAAATAAACACAAAATAACCTAGTCACACAGATTAGAAATCTGGAATTCAACTCTGACTCTCCTTTTCTTTAAAATCTATTCCACAGCTAGAATGAATCAATCACTTTGATTTTATTAAAATGGTTTCCTACATATAAAGTACTTAGTACATTATCTTGCTCTCAACACGTTAGTTATCATCACCATCACCACTAGGCCCACCACTACCATCATTAAATCTCTTTCACAGTCACTTGCTCTTAGTTTGGGTATTCTGTGTCTACTCAAACTTTATCAGTTTCTACCTCTTCTGATCATATATTCTTTTAAGAATCTGAAAAAAGTCATAACTTTTCCTAGGAAAACATCTATTGTTAGGAAATCTTGTATACAATCTGAGAGGAACTTCTAGCCATGGATCCCAGGTAAAACCTCTTAGAACTCTTCATGTTCACAGCATTATTTCAAAATCCTTTGAGCACCTAAGGAACAAATAGAGGAGTGTGCAGAGAGCAAGTGACACTGATTTCCTTACTTTAGAATCCAAAGCCTTTCTAGACACAAGATCTCCTCACACCCATGCTTTATATTCTGGCTATACAAACACATTCCTAAATAATATTCTTTAAAAGGGTCTCTCATCTGTGTTTAAGTAATAGGTGCAATTTCCTCTGACTAGAATTTCAATCAGTTCTTCATTCCTTAAAGAAACATCTCCTTTAAGTCTCAACTCAAATATTAGCTCCTCCATGAGGTCTTTCCAAATTTCCAAGCATAGTGTTCCCTTGGCACTTTTTATACTTTCCAACTTTTGCATACTTGTTTATAATGCTCAAACTCTACTTTTCCGGTCCTTGTTATAAATATTGTACAATTCGACTTTCTGGAAACATTAGTTACGGTATTATACTTTAGCACATTCTGTATATACTTAGTGGAGCCAGCAATTTCATTTTTATTAAAGGGTTGTGAATCCTAAGGATGTGAACATTCTACTTTGATTACACAAAGCAGCTGTCTCCACTGGATGTGAAAAACAATATATTTTTCTTGGCGATAGGCATAATTCATCTATAAACAAAGACCAAAAACGAGAAATAAAACTTCATAATGCTACTATCTAGAAGTGAACATCTGGTCACAAGGAAAACATTTTAATAATAAAAACATATTTAAAATACTCATAATTATGCTACCTACAATTTAGTATTCTGCTTTATTCACTTTGTATTATAAGCATTTTCTTATGCTATTAAATAATATTTAAAAACACAATTTTAAAGGCCAAATTATATTTTATCACAGAGGTTTCATAATTTAATCACTCCTACCATTGGTTTTTCAGGTTGTTTCATTTTTAATAATCTAAATAATGTCATGATAAAATAGCAACTATTTATATCACTATTATCTTGCTGATGCTTTCTTCAAGATAAATTCTTAGAATACAGCATGTTATAGCACTGAGTCATGTACCCTAGGCTAAGAAATTAAGATTTTATCAGCCATCTGATATTATTTATGACCTCCTCACCACCAACTCAGTCCACAAAGGATATAGACATTTTTTAGGTTCTCAATCATAAGGAACCAATTTACTTTCCAGAAAGTTTACATTTTTTAAAGCAAAAGCCAAATTTTATTAGCAATAATCATTTAGTGACAGTGTATACATAGAAGTTTAGTAATATCTTAAGAGTTACACAAAACTACAAAATTTACTTACAGATACCCATTAAATTCTTCTGAAGGTTTTCTCCAAACTGTTACATCTTTCTAGAAAGATAAAAAACATTACTGTGATAATTACATAAATTACATAGGTGGAACGCTGGAATGAAATTTTATAAGTCCATAACACTTGACTTTACATTAAAAAAAAAAAACTTTTAAGTACATTTTTAGAGATGCATAAAAGTTATCTATATCACAAAATGATCCATATTTGAATTTCTTCTGTATCACACTGTACTTAAAATTACAGACCTTCAAAAATATTTTTAGTGGCTTAATAATACCCAAACACAAGAAGACTTAGTGATGGGCCTATTCTAGTGGCCATTTTTATTTGCCTTATTTCTATCTTATCTATTTACTATTATCTATTTACTATGTACCTATTACTGATACTATGACATTAAGAACATTAAATATTTTATTCTAAATTGTTCACAACTTTTTAAAAATTAAACAATTCACATTTATTATGATTGTATTATTTTGAATTAATTATTACATTTTCCCCCAATCAATTCCCAAGTAATTTTGAACATTAGAACAACTAAAGCACAGAATAACCAGGTCTATAAGAGTCTTGACTTCCAGGCTTGGTTCTGAGTGCACTTAGCCATGTCACATTTTGGGCAAGTTACTGGTAAAGATGAATACTAACTGACCACCCTTGAAGGCTTGTTCCCATATCTGAAACTATTTCAAACTATCAATTACTATACTCCCTTAAATTACTAATAATAATACCCTATGTTGATTCAGAAAGCTATTCTTAAGGCTCTGGTTGCCATAACCCTGCTCTCATGTTTAATATCTAAAATAAAAGCAGGGTAAGATTACTACTGATGTTTCTTTCTTTGTAAAATGATCCACAAACCCTATTTAAATAATTATCTGTCTTGCACATCCATTCCAAATATGATCTTTTATTCGTATTTTTCATATCATTTTGAAAGTCATCAACCAATTCATTGGATATACCCCAAACATAAGAAGTAACTGGATTAATTTACCGTTTTTTTTGCAACTCGCCATTTGTCATCTTCAATATTATGGTACTGGATAAGAGTGTTTTTGAGTCGACTTGAAAAAGAAGCAACATCAGGCAGGCCTTCCATATTTTTCTCTCTGTCACAGAGACCAAGATGAGCATCAGTAAATCCTGTAGTTTGATGTCAGGAAGTCGTAAATCTGGCTCCACAATAGATTCTCCTTGAAGAGCTATAAAAGATATCTATACCTGGCCCCCACCACAGATAAGCTAATCAGAATCTCTGAGAGTAGAACCACGGCATGGGTTTTTTGAAAAAGCTCTTAAGGTGAATAACCCATAGCCAGGAATGAAAATCACACTTTTCTGACAGTTATTAAAACTGCCCATATAAAAAAATAAAAGGGGAAATGGAGGGAGCCAAAAGGGGGCATTATCTCTCTTATATATGAGCTGCTTACACCCAAATACTAACCTTTAATCCTCATCTCTCTGGCAAGTTCCAGATCTGGAGGCCTACTTGGACTTTCAATCCTAAGGAGCATCTAAATTGGTGTCAGTATTCCTCATGTTAATAATTTACTATTAAAATGGTAATTGAGCTCAGGTTCTTAAGTCAAAAAGCTTGAAATCATCCTTAATAGTAATAGATTCCTATCCACATCACCATACCCTGGGATTTTCTTTGCGTCCTTCAAACTGGACAAGCTTATCACCAGCTTTGAGTCTCTATACTTGTTATTTCTCTGCCTAGACTGCTAGATCCTAAATCTTAACCTGACTGTTAACAACAACTTAAGTTTAAACCTCCTGTCCTTAATATAGCCTTTTGCAAGTTACTATTATATATTTGATTTTCTTCATAGTGCCTATCACTATCTTAAATGAATTTGTTTATTTATAGGGATATTTTTCATCTCTTTTACCACTTCATACCCAACTCATGCAAGAGGGATCCTTGTCTGTCTTATTCATCACTACCTCCTATACACCTACATACTATGTGGCACACTACTAACAGACCCTTAGTGATATTATTGTTTTTTCTTCAAAACTAGATTTGGTATTACTTTGTCTTCTTTTGTTGCCAGAGCTTTGATTTCTTAGTATTATTCCTATTTTACCCTATTTTATCTCTGTTCTTCCCATTCCAGTAAAAGACTGAAGGACAGAAAGTTTGAAGGAAAGCTACTCATTACAGAATCATGAAATTACTAAGATGGATAAACAACATGAAAAAATCTAAATAAAAATCTCAAGCCTCAAACCTCTAGGGAATAAGGCTGCAATTTTCAACTACAGATGCTACGACCATCAGATCCACCTTTGTTATATATTCTGTAGTAGTTGTTGCTGGTTTTACATATTAGATTTCAGGGCTCACTGCCAAATAGTCTGATTCAGTGGATCTATTCTGGGCTAGGACACAGAAATCTAGGTCTTTTAAAAGTTTCACTGATTATTCTGTCACCCAGCCAGGGTTGAGAACCACTCATCTAAAAACCAAAGGTGACAGGAATAAATCAAAGTTGTAACCAATATTTAAATAGCGCAAAGTAAAGCGTACAAAGCATTAAAACTGGTAAATTTAAAAATTATATAGAAATATGAGAAAGTACGTGTAGAAAATTTAAGAATATAGAATTTAAGATCCATTTAAGTGATGTAAAATGTATAATATGTACATATCCTATCATACATAGAAAGTGGATGAGCTCATTTTAATTGTCTACCAGTCAGGAATATATCCCATCTCCACTCAAGTGGCTGCCAACTTGACAATACAATGACTCTATTGAGGGCTATGTCAAACAAGCACAAGTTCTTAGAGCACTTAGAACTTATACAAGAAATTCATCTATTACTGTGATCATTATGATTAAACAACATTCTTTAAACCCAAAGGTCACTGATATGTTCCTGTGGTTGGCAGATAAGAGTATTTTTTCAAAACTCCTTGATAGAAATCAGAGGTGATATAGAAATTATCATAAGCAAATATATCTGTGCAGATCCAGCACAGAAAAAGCAAGCAATAAAAGCTAACAAGAAAAATGAGAATCTGGGAGCAGTATATACAGCTCAGTTGGTAGAGTGCTTGTCTTGCATGCACATAGGCCCTGGGTTCAATCCCCAGCATATCTCTCTCTCTCTCTCACATACATACACACACACACACACACACACACACACACACAATCTGAAACTTTAAGGTGCTTGTCTTAGTAATTATTCCCCAACTTCCCTAAAGACTTAGCTTCCCCTCCAAAGTTTTCTCACAGAAACTCTGTATTATAATTATACACTATCTTTTCCCATTTAATTGTAAAACATTTGGGGGCAGGAAATGTAGCTTGTTATACTCCTATGTCTAGCATTCAGTTAGGAATCCAGTGAATTTTAAAAGGGAAAATATACAGAGAATGAGCTGGTAATCTCATGTATGAAAGACCTCAAGATATCTAATGTGTGCCCATATACACCAATCATCATTGAGCTTCTGAATAACAAATTCTCATGACCAAAATGAAAAGATAACAATTCTCAGAGGTCTACTATTAAGTATTTACTAAGAATCTAGTATATTTGCTCTCAATGTTGACTCATTCCACCCTTTAAATAAACATTAGCAGCAATAATAACAACTAAAGCATTAAAAACTTCTTATAGTTTTTTAAAAGGCTGGTGAAATGGGAGGTAGGAAGAGAAAAAAAGTAATTATAAAATCAGGAAGCTTTCTTTTTATTCCAAAGTATTTAAGCAGGCAGTTAATTCTTGCATCAAGAATAAGTTTAAAACAAAATAAAGGTAACCGTCTAAATTTCTCTCTCTGTGTGAACAGACATGACTGAGTATCTCTCAAAATGATGAACACCAAGGAGAGTGAATGGCACTGGTGTTATCAAGGCTTTGGTTCTCTCCTGATACAATAGAGCACTTTGAATTCCCTCTTACTATTTCAATGTTTTATTCCATTTCCTGACTTTATACCAGGAAATTCTCCGACTGTAACACGTGTCAAACAAAATAGGCAACACTTAACCTTATTAGAATCTAACAACTCCTTATAAGATTATATACTCTTGGCAAGTGTTGACTAACTTCCATCTCCACATCCTGTCCTTAAATTAACCTTTCTGTTTTTGTTTTCTATGTCCATGTGTTTGAATGGCCATTAGTGATAACAGAAGATGCCATCATAGAGTCAGCAAACTTCTCAAGTTAAAAAGGTTCTTGAGGCCATCCATATTAGCACCAGTCTTGACCAATCCAACTCCAGTTATTATCCAATATATATATCACAGTAAAATGGTCCTAGGTTTCCTTCTGAATATGAAACAATAAAACACTTTTCCCTCAAATAAAAAGTAAATTCCATAAAGATCCATTTGTACTTATGCAGTATGACTAGGTTAGAATACATTTGTTAAAGAAGCTCAAGAATCAGAATTATTGAACCTTCCATTACTTGATTAACATGGATTTTATGAATGTGAATAAATTCAATTTAACATACCATAGACTGTCCCCAACAAGTTGTGCAAACTAAGGGAAAACTAAGGCCTTGTGACCTGAGTTATATTTTCTAACATATAGGTTTCAGCATATGCTTCCTTTCCAATCAATCTTGATCTGGTAATTTGGCTTTTCAAACTCAGTCTTGTAGTTTCTCACTTTTTAAACTGGTCTTTGCAGGAATTCACTAAATAAAGGAATGCAACCTGGAAGCGTACTTTTGCAGCGTGACTATGATCCTTTGTTTCAAGTGCTCACCTTAATTTATTAGCTTTTACAACACTTGCCATTTAAATTCTCATGCTATAACAGCTTTAGTTTTTGAGTCCAGGTTAGTGTAAATCCTTAATGTTCTAATCCTTTATTTAAAATAGTAATTGCTAACATTTACTGATCACTTACTGTTCAATTTTTCTGGTTGTTTTACACTGTATTTCATTTAATCCTCACAAACAACCATAAGGGTCCATCTTGACATTACTCCTATTTTACAGGATGGGAAAACAGCAACAGGAAGGTTCAGACACTAATATCGTACAGCTAAATAAGTGAAGGAGTCCAAATTCCAACACAGGGTGTCTGAATTCTTGAAAAAATGATGCAAAGTGACCACCAGCTGGAAGAGATTAAACATGAAAAACCTTACTCCGCAATGATTTCGTCAAATTTTGTCTTGGCTCCCATACCCCAAAATCTCGGGTAATCTTTCTCGAGTGCAAATTTAAGAAAATAAAAATAGGAACAGTTATTTTTTCAGGAATTATATGAGTTGATACCTACAGCATCGGACCTGGAAAATAGGAAGCACCGGGGAAATCATCTCCTTGAGCTTGGTGGGAGGGGACGGACCCTGCGCACCAAGAACCAGGAAGCGCTGTGCCCTTCACAGAGCATGCCTTCAATAAAACCTTCACCACAGCCTGAGAAGCGTGATCGCTGCCGCCCCTCCCCCATTTAACAGATGAAGAAACTGAGGCCTGGCCGGCGTCAAAATTCCTTAAACTGGCGGAGGTCTCCCCTTCCTCTCCACGGTCCTGTTTTCCCTCTCACCTGTGAGGGCCACAGCCCCCCCCCCACCCCCACCCCCGGCACAGCGGGCTCCGCCATCTCCGATCTCCACCGCGGCCTCCCTCACCCCACCTCTAGAACAGCTCCGGGAAGACGCACTCGGCAGGACGCCCCGGATGCTCCAGTCACCTTTCTCCCCGCGCCCGCTCCATTCCCGACGCGGATCCGTACCTCTCCCCGCCAACACCAGAGGTTCTAGGGTGCAGCTCCGGTGCTCCAGGTAAACGCCGGACTCACCGCCTCCAGCAACACAGAGGAGTTCAGATCTGTTCAGTTTCCCAGGCGAGGCGCGGCTGGCAGCAGCCAATGGGAATCCAGTCCCTGCCAGTCGCAGCCAATGGGAAGGATCGAGCGCTTCAGGGCAAGGCGGGACGCTCCCCGCCAACTCCACCCCTGCTCGGACCTAGGTGCTCGGGGGACTAGTGGGACTTCTTGGTAGGAACGGTGTGTACTCGCTAGGATTGGCTGGCGCGACAGCGTGTGGAGCGCTGATTGGTCACCGGGAAATGGAATGATTTCGCGTGGGTATGGGCTGGCCCGAGCCTTGTCCGAGTTCCTAGAGTGACTGAGGTTGACTGTGGGCTTAGATGGGTCACCGCCTACGGTAGCCAATTAATTGCGAAATAATTTGGCAAGGCAGTTAATCTGTTGGGAGCAACAACGATCTCAAGGCCGAGAGAACAATGAGCGCGAGGGATAAACCTGGTCCAAATTCTCCTCTGTTGTGAAAAACCTAGGATCAGACGGCTGCCTTACACCTACCTACAGGACCAAAAGTCCTGGATGTGCCCAATCCGAAGGTGTGCAAAAGCAAGATGACTCGCCCTCCAGCCTCCTCCTATCCTGATTTAAGTGTTGAAGTTGAAAGCGCTGGGAAGTAAAACGTTAAATAGTCACAGGCACAGTGACTTGATCACTAGTGAAACGGTCTTCTTGTCTTCAGATTAGGAAATTCAAAGGACAACTTTTGAAAGTAAAGAGGAGAGGGTGATGGTTGAATTTAGCAACCTTACAAACTGTTCTGATTTTCCTCTACTTGAGTGTAGAAGCATGTTTTCCAGTGTGAAGTCACTTATCTGCTAGGATTCTTGGCAATTCTGGCCAACTTTATCTTCATTATTTATATACAAAAAGAATAATAATTTGTTTTATGATTGCATGTGAGATGGTAATGGAAAAGTTCTTTGTGTGTTTTAAAGCTCCATTGACTTGCTATTTATTTTTAGTCAGTTATTGTGGTCCTTGTTTGGATAATTTGAGATAGTTAAGGGAAAGTGTATTTTTTTTTTAAATTTGTTTTACTTAGTTACACATGACAGTACAATGATCTTGACATTTCAATACATTTGAATCTGATAGGATATAATTTCTCATTTTTCTGAGTATACAGGTTGCAGTATACTGGTCATGCAGTCACCTATATACACACAATAATAATAATGTCTGTTTCATTCTACTATCCTTCCTATCTCCCCATCCCCTCCCCTTCCCTCCCATCACTTCTCTCTACCTAATCTAGGGGAACGCTATTCTTTTTTTTTTTTTTTCACATCTTTATACATGTATTTTGTATAACAATGAGGGTTTCCCAGTATTTTGAATTAAATTTTACATATTTTGCATTTCACTGAATCCACTTAACAGCACCTTAAAGTAGATGTATTTTAGATATGAAAACCCCCAGTCATGCATGTTAAGGCAGTTTACTTAATTACTGAGTGACTGAATTGAAATTTGGCAAAAGTTTGCTGGACTCTAAAACTGGGGCTCTTAAACCCCACAAAATTTATATTGTGCTTCAGAGTTCTTTGTTAAACACCTGTGCATAACAGTAGTCTCCAGAAATGAAACACCTAAACTTACCCTGAGGGTTTAATAGTGGAGAGGAAGAAGTCCTCATAAACGTTTCAGAAAAGTAGAAAATTAGTGTCTCTCATTATTAGGATTCAGCTCTGGGAACATTACTCACAAACTCTTGTGTATTCTCTCAGAGAATCCTGTAAAACATGTATGAAACAAAATTAACTCTTTTTTTTTTTTTCTTTGAAGGAGGTCTTGCATAAGGTTATACCCCCTGTGATTACATCTCAGTTATACCCTCCGTGATTTCTTTTCTTTCCTCTCTGATATCCGGAAGGCTTTTGTTTCTTGTTCTTCATCTCTTACCCTGTTTGTCTTGGTTAGAGTGAAGTTAGGGTAATTAAAAATGATCCTATCTCTATCAAAGTGGAATGCTACTAAAACAAAACTGCAAGTTACAGGAAAAAACAATAATAACATATCTGGAGTTGTTATTCAAAGGCTTGTCATGGTCAGCACAGAAGGTTTTATTTAACACTGTTTTAACTTATTTAATCTTAATAGCAATGCATGATAATAGGTACATACTACTGCTGTACATACCTCATTGTATATTTGAAGGAGCTATAGTATATAGGACAACAGAGAGATATCCCTTCTAAAGAGTTAAAACAGGGAAATAAGGTTTCCATTCAGAGTTCAAGTACCAAAAAGGCAGGCATATAATAATTTGAACAGCTATACAGAAAGTTATCCAAAGCAGTCTCCCTACCAACTCCTGACTAGAATCTGACTGAATATATGAATATATCTAAAGAAAAAAATTCCAAGAAGAAATAAGAAAAATTCCAAAACACAGAAGTAATATATCCACAATTTATGATCTGCAGAATTTAAATTTAGAAATAAACAAAATAAAACAACCCATGTGCAAATATTCCCAACTACTTAAATATTTTTTTAAAACATCTGTTTACCAAACTCTTTGGTCAAAGAGAAAATCAAACATTGCATATTGAGGAATAATAATGTATTTTAAAATATTAACATTAACAAAAATAATAATGATGTGTAGCAAAGCTAAAGAGTATGATTTTTTTTTATATATATATATATACCAAGGATTGAACTGAGGGGCACTCGACCCCAGCCCTATTTTGTACTTTTTATTTAGAGACAGGATCTCACTGAGTTGCTTAGCACCTCACGTTTGCTGAGGTTGGCTTTGAACTAGAGATCCTCCTGCCTCAGTCTCCTGAGCTGCTGGCATTACAGGCATGTTACTTAGATAACTTTAACTCAGAAAATTCATAGCTTTAATTCAACAAATATTCTTTAAATACCTGCCACCAATACCAAGAACTGAGGATATATTGCATGCTGAGAATTACTTACTTGCGAATAATAGAAACTCAACTGTGATTATGCCAAGAAAATACATTAGAAACTATGGAATATTTTATAAAAATTTGCTACTAAGGAATTGTCTGCTAATACTTTGGATTCAGTGATAAAAGAAGAATGAAAGGAAAAGATAAATTTTGGAAAAAAAAATGTAAAAAAAAAAAGAAGAAAGTAAGAAAAGAAGAAGGCTTGACCATGAGGTCTACTAGAGTCTGGATGACAAGGTCAGCTCTATCCCCATTTTAAGATCATGAAAGAAATTGGAACTGGGATAAAAGAAAAGTGGATTCATAAAGATTGTAAACTCTTGTAAGGCAGGACTCCATATCTTTTCCCTGGATCTGGGTAATTAGGAGGCCCAATATAAATATTTGTTGAATAATGCATGAACTATTAGTCTAAATAGTTTTGTTCTATTTCTGGCTCTTCTGCAAACCAGTTAGTAATAATAAAGGAAGTTGAATGTTATGCAATCAATTGAATCCTGGATCTCCATCTGTCTGTAATGACTTCACACCAATTAGTAAGAAAAAGTAAAATCCCTTGAAAACACCAATAATGTGTGATTCATCTGCTTTTAAAGGGAGAAAAGAAGTCCTGGGTGTTAATAGCTTTTCAAGAGATAAGGCTGAAGCACTGAAACAAAAAACAGGAAAAACTTGATAAAGACGATAAAGTGATGACACAATTTGACCTTAGGTGTTATTCCAAAATTCACTGTGTACTGTGAAGAAGTGTATTTGGCATATCATAGGTAACTTATACTTTTATATTCTTTCTTAGGTTCTGTAAGAGTGCTCTTTTTAGCTGGGTGTGGTGGTACACACCTGTAATTCCACTGAATTGGGAGGTTGAGGCAGGAGGATCACAAATTCAAGGCCAACCTGGGCAACTTATAAAGACCCTGACTCAAAATAAAAACTTAAAAGGTGACAATTGTAGCTCTGTGGTAGAGCAGTTGCCTAGTATGCACAAAGCCCTGGATTTAATCTCCAGTACCAGTGGGGGTAGGCAATTTTTTTTTTTCCTCCTTGATCAGATTCTACTAAACCATTGTCCTTCCTTTCCTTGTTTTGGGGCAGCTTTGTTATATTTCCAGCAGCCATACAAGAGGGTGAGGATGCTATTGGTGCTGGGAAGGCAGGGAAGGGATTCTTAGAGAGCAATACCTTTGAAAAATCCAAGATCTACTTCCCTTATTCCACCAGTTG